AAACGGATCACTGTAAGAAAGTATTAATGAAGAGATATCCTCAGATTTGCGTTTTGTTGTTACTGATAATTAATCTCGGGTGATTCCTGCCACTTAGATTAAAAAAGGAAAGTATGTTGCAATTTTAAAAGCAGCTATAGCTTAGTATATGACGGACTTTAGTTATTATTTCGTCTGACGTGGAGTTCCGTGAGTAGTTGGTGTATTATTATCTACAGCGTCCATCATTTGTTTTCTTGTGGCGATCATTGGGAAAAAATTAGTTTATGCACATAGTATTGTTCATCGTGAGAGCCAACACATTACCATCTTAAATTGTGTTTATGACTTATTGTTTAGTATTATCGACTATATTGCCTGAAATAGTAGTTTTAGAAATAGACGTAATCCCACTTTACTGATTGCAATCGTCTAATTATGGGGAGTTATCCTATTGTATTAAATACAATATTGAGTTTTCGAATATAAGACAAAATGCAGGGTCTTCTGATTAACCTTAGCAACAATGCAAGCATATTCGGGATGCGGTTTCCCCACTCGAAATGCAAAACGTTGCTTCACGTTTGGCTTGCGACTTCACCGGAACTAGTGATAGGGAGTGAAGTAGTCGGACGTGTAGACCGCTTCACGTATCTGGGAAGTCTCATCAGTGTTGATGGCCTGGTGACTGACGAAATCTCAGCGCGGATACAGAAAGCTCGGTTGGCGAGTGTACTGTTCGGCAGTTCGCTCGGTCCTATTATACGGATGCGAAACGTGGCCGTTAAGAGTGAAGAACTTTCGTAGGTTACTAGTCTTCGATCATCGATGTCTCCGAAGCATTGCTCGTATATCCTGGGACAATCGTATAAGCAATGCTGTCGTTAGGAAACGAGTTCTAGGTAGGGATGGCAAATCAGTAGATGAAGTAGTGAAACCTCATCAGTCGAGGTGGTTGGGACATGTGTTACGTATGCCTAACCACCGACTGCCGCGACGACTTACGTCTTCTGGTATAGGAATAGGTTGGAAGAAAGCTAGGGGCAGCCAAACCAAAACATGGCAGAAATCCATGAAGTCACTGACAAGTGGATTGAGTCATGTTGGTAGATGTAGACGGCCTGGTTGGGGTCCGCGAGACGAAAGTCACCAATGGTTAGAGACCTTAAACGACATGGCTCTAAATCGTTTGCAATCGCGCAGGTGCATCCACTATTTGTGTTCTATGAAATTCTAACCTGAATTCCTCATCATCTCCATCTTTCTCCTAAATTTATCTCACTGAATTATACTTCTCGAATGATATCTTCGCTCCCTAATCTTCTCCATTACTGCTAATACTTCTACTACCGCTATCACTCTTGGATTTGAACTGACAGTTGCGTCTCTGTGCTGATGGGGCATGGCAACCTGAACTGAACTTACGTACGAAGTTCTGCGATGTATGTGTCTGCCTTCTAATACGGTTTCTGGTATTTTCGATTCCACGATCGTTCAATACTTTATGAAAGCTAATGTAGAATACTTTTGAAGTCTTCCCATAGGCCCACTAACCAAATCACTGTCATGTGAAGTATTTTGGAATTCCGAATTATTTATTTATTCAATTCGAATAAATGCTGAAAATTCCTCGGACGTGTCTGTTACTTATCTATTGGGCAGTAGAGGCAAAGCGAACTCTTAATAATCTCCACCGTAGCAGAACATTTTTGAGCCCGTATTATGTATGACCAAACATATGAAAACAGTGGTTTAGTGTTTTCATTGTACTCAATGTAGTTATTTTTCTATTCTTTTTCATAGTTATGGGATAGGCTTCAATACCTTTGATTTCGACTGATGTGTAGATCAATCAAATTCGTTCGCCAAGATATTAGTTATTTGATTTAAATCTACATCAAAAATGTTGTATTTCGAAGATTTTATGGAAGGTAAATCTAAATTGCTTAAGTGACATCAACAGCGATTGAAAATATGCCATCTGAGCTAAATGAAAGTCTTACAAACGTTCGCCAGCTGGACCTACAAGCTCAAAGTAACCTTACAAATGACGTCATACTCATTTTTCAAGATATTTTAGATTCATTATCAGAAACCATACAGACGTTTTTTGAGAACTGTAGGTTTGGTAGACTTTTGGAGTATGAAAAAAGCACTCAGATTCTTAATATCACTCGGGTAATTTTTGGATTATTGTCACGAATCGTAACAGGAATATGAGCGAGCACTCGTCCATTGCAAGGATAAAAGAGAAATAGTGGAAAATATATATAGCACAGTACGATAAATCATTGTAATTTATATCCGAAAGTATCGTAAATTAGTGAGGAAACTGGATATTGAGCTAGAAAAATTTCGACTTGAGTTGGAAGCCGATAATTCAGGGATAACAGAACAAATAGAAAAAAGTAGGTTATTTTGTCAAGAACATAGCGCTTTAGGAGTTCAGAATGCACTGGGAAAAACGATAACTACAAATTCAAAAGCAGAACGTTGGTTGTTTCTTAGTTAATATAAGTTTCTAGGTAGAAGACAAAGACTGCGATTCCAACAGTCAGGTCATTGCAAAACTAATTTTTCAGTGAGAAGGCGACTGGTTGGTCCAGCTTTCAGAGCAGCACTCAAATCTGCTTGCATGAGACCTATGAATTTTGTAGGAGTTCCGTCACTGGAAAATACTAACTTCGCACTTAACGGTGATCAAACATCTTTTAATAACTCCAGTTTGAACCCCAATTCTGGATGCCACGCGCAAGATATGGGATCCCATAGAAAGAACCCAGCTCATACAGATGGCCTAAGTCCTCTTAAATCCATTGATGAAAGTGAGTTAATGTTTCCCAATGGAGCTTTATTTCACTATGATAAAAGTAGTTGATATTGTGTTCAATAAAGCAGTGAGTTAGTAACAACAATGTAGAACTTCATACGTACATGCATCAGTTCAAGTTGCCATACCACATTAGCACAGAGAGATGGGATTGTCAATTCAAATCAATTGATAGTGGAGGTACGTACAACAAGTATTAGCATTAATAGATATTAGGACCTAAAGATACTATTCTGGATGTATAATCCAGTGAGATGAATCTAAGAAGAGAAAATAAGCTTATAAGGAATTCAGACTAGAATTTGAAAAATGTTCTATAAAGCAACTTCTTGTTTCCTCATCTGTATGTATTTGAATCTTTTCCTAACTCTTGTTTCAGAGAGAATACATCCGGCAACAAAAAAAAGTGTTTACTGATTACACATGTCATTGTGAGATGTAACCTGTCTTGGTTTGAATGTTATTTCTGGCAATACATCAAAGTTTTCATTCGTAGAACGTCCAGTCATAAAAATACTGTTGCCTGCGTTCACGACTGAAATAACTTCATTAGGCTGGGTGTGATATCATGTGTACGAAAATCAATGTCTAGTAATAGCAGTTTCGTCATATGATGACATGATTTCGGGAAGTGTTTTTAAATAGTCGGTAAATCTTCATTGCACCAAACTCACGTTTCTGCTTAGCGTTGTGAAAATTGCAGTCGATGAAAGGATTTCCATTGTCCCCGAATGTCAAGTAATGCAGTAAGACTATAGACCCAACAGAGTAGGCACTTACATGGCAGTGACGACACGCCAGTCATAACGCTTGTTTGCATAAAAAGAGCAAACATTGATACCAAGTCAATTTCGCACTCCCTAATCACTTTCCAATTAACTATGTTCAAAATCGAAAGCCTTAATCATTCACAAAGAAATCAATATGACTGCTGTTCAAAAATAAGTTTTGTACCAAACTGACGTCATCATGAAAGATAAAGAAAAATAATAAACATTAATTTTAACGGTTTTCTACCTAATAGTATGCGGGGAAATCTTCATAATGTGTTCGTATCTTACCTAGACACTCGTCAAAATTTGACCTATAATCATGTTTTCGAAAATTCGTTTCGTAAGTATTTCCGCAAAAAAAATTTTTTGGTACAAGTTCATCTATCCATCGTAGTGTTTCATACGTTGTTGATATTTGAAAACCAATACCTAGATCAAACTTCCTTTTTAAACTTTACTTCGCGTTTTTCTAAATATTTTCGTACATAGACTCAATATGCTTGGATCATCAATCCAGTGACAGCTCCAACGATAGGACCTTTGATACGTAAGTTTAAACAGCTTAAAATGTACGAATTACACAAGAAGTCTCGTACTTGTTATATTATTCCTTTTTAGTATGAAAATGTTAACGACGTTTTATTACGATCAAAACCATGTTCTAGTAAAAAAGTAGAATTTTTGCTGCATTAACTATCAACGTTAAACTAAATAACCAAGACATCTCTCCAAACCGACTTGTATTATTTGGGCATTAACAAAATGAGCTTCTCAAGTTAAGACTAGCAAGTAGCTTCCAGGTCTGGTCTGATTGTAACTTGGGTCCCCTTTACAGTTCTACATAAAACGTCTTAGTGATTCAGTAGGTACTAACATCATTCGGGGTGAAAGCTAAACAGCATACAAAGCGCCAGGTTAGAAACCCCATTGACATTACTAGACCTAAATAGCCCATGTTAAGACTTGTGAGGCATTCACCAATCTTAACCAGTTGTGGTGGTGTTTCGTTCTTTAAGCTGGTTGTTTTGGTTGCTGAGCTTTCATTGGTCTTCTAAACGGCGTCATCAGCACAAACTTCAGATAGAAGTGAAGCATTCGAATTTCTCCACGTTTGACCTGTAGCTTGTTCTGCTAACCTTGATTGGTTGTTGTTGACCTTAAACCTGTCGTTCTTTGCACCTTTGTTTTGATTGTATCCCCCTTTTGATCTGATTCTTGATCCTATGTCACCTATGACTTTTCTGATTGGTTGATAAATCGGGTCAATATCGATGTGTTTATTGATTGCTGATTGACCTGAGTGGCAAGCTTCTAAAAATTCTCTCGTGTTCTTTGTCCTTCCCCTATCCAGTATTTCCACATTGTCCCAATCGAATGAATGTCCATAATTGTCGGTGTGTATTGATATATATCAAAACAACCAGCTCAGAGAACGAAGCACCACCAAAATCATCCACCCGAGCTACAAATTTTCTCCACCATCTCATCCTAATCAACCATTTAATTGATGTATTTTACAATTAAGGTCACAGGTGATAGGAAACCACGATAATTCAAAACCAATCATAAACTGTTTATAATAGCTGTGATAAACATACACATTTCTGGTGCGTTTAGCATTTTCGGTGGACTCACATTAAAACGCACCACTGTCCTAAATTTATTCAGATATGGTGTTCGAGGAAACTCATGTAATCTTATGAAATACTTTCATGGTTATTTCTATTCTGGCTCTTATAGGATTAATGCACAAACTGAAGGAGCTTCAAAGTTTGAAGAGGATACTGTAAGCGTTCACAATGCAGCTGCTGGATTTTCTTCAGCTATTTTAAAAAGCAACTCGAGCTTGCTACAAGATATGTCACTAGATGCTAAAACTCACAGTGGAATGTACGATCGTATTACTAAAAGTGCCAACTCTTCCAGTGGTCATTTATTTTACGATACAACAGAATCTAACCTTACAGATCGTGACAAGCTCAGCTTAACACCCAGGACAGGTTCAATTGAGAACCAAATTACAGACGATATCACTTCACCTGCATGGCCTGGTTTAACGCAGAGTTTCTCAACTGTTCGGGAAAAACGCCGATATCCGCGAAGATTTGATAGAATAGGTCTAGCATGTGACCTCGCGGTTGATGAATTTGGAAAGCTTGATGATTCACCTAATTCTAGTGTCAATGCAACGCTGGAACATGGGTTTAATGACCAGGTATATGAATTTAGTGGGAATCCGAAACCAGAGAATCCCACCGACCCACCAGATGATGATGAAGATTACAAGCGCTACTGCATATGCCGAGATGTGAGTTATGGTGACATGATAGCATGTGACGCCCCAGACTGCCCCTTCGAATGGTTCCATTATGCTTGTGTGAACCTAACTGTTGCACCGAAAGGTCGATGGTTTTGTCCTACCTGTGCTAAATCTTTAAATAATAAAAGAAACATCAAAAAAAGTTCGTCGAGGAAGTAACGATTGTTCCACATATTTTCAGAGAACAAAAAACGAACCAATAAACTGCTTGTGAGCAATTCTGATGTATTTATGATTTTTAAACCTGTGTATAAGCACATGAAATATATTGTAATACACTGCGATGTAGAGGGAAAAAATTTAGGACGAACAAAAATAAAACAATATTATATATATGTACATGGTCAACGTGTCTGGTACGTTTAAGATGCATAGGGATTCTGTTGTAAACCATGCAATTTACAAAATAGCCTTTTGGAAACGTAACAGAGTAGAAGAAAACTTAGGCATGATTTTAATTTAAGATGACTGTGTGGTTGGCGAATACATGTTTGAAGTTCCAACTACAGGAAAAGCAAATGCATAATTAATAATAAATAATACATAGAGTAATGTAGATCAGTGCTTTTACACGTTGAAATCATCAATGAATCATTTTTGGAACACCAGTAGAAACCTGAAAGCACTAGACGGCCGTTTCGTTCTAGTGTGGGACTCATCAGCAGTGCGCATCCAAGACTCCTACATCTCGCACCTGGCAGGGTTTGTGCCAAACCAAGACATGGCACAAATCCATGAAATCAGTGACAAGAGCACTGAGCCATGTTGGTAAATGTCAACCTGGTTAGGGTTGGCGAGATGATAGCACTCGAAGGTTAGGGACCTTGAACGACATAGCTTCAAATTGTTTGCAATGGCTCAGGTGCATCCACTCTTTTTTCTCTCAAATGCTAATCTTCTGAATACCTCATAACCTCCATCTTTCTCTTAAATTTATTTCACCGGATGCTCCTTATATATTATTTTTGAACTCTGATCATTCCGGTTACTTCTAATATACTACTATGGAATTTGAAGTGACAATTGCGTCTTTATGCTTAGTGGTATCGCAACTTGAAATGATGTACTTACGTACAGGGTTCTGCGTTATAGCTGTTTGGCAGGATTAGGACCCAGGACCTTCGGTCGTACGCGCGAACGCCTAACCTCTGAACCCTTGGGCTGGCATCCAACAATATTAATACATAACTCTGATCAATCTAGGGATTTTGCAAGACCTCACACATTTGTCTTCAGTAGTTACTGTCTACATCCGATAGGGTCGAACTCCACTAGTCACGTCTTCTTACTAGAACTCCGAAAATTTCCTCATGAAGCTAGTCACTAGTGAGCCCATTGTACGAATTTTTTGAGTTCAACGTGTAAAGGATACTTAGTTATTAGTTGATACTACCAAAGTATTGCTCGGTAGTTCAGTTTGAACAACTGGCCCTGCGAGTTTTAATTTAGGACTGATGTTAAGTAGATTTTGATGACATCTCACTCTATATGTAAAGTTCTACGATTGAATGCAATATAAATCTGAGTACGTTGAAAGCTCCAAGATCCATTTATTGCATACCAACTCATAAATAAAGTAGGGTTTAGTACAAATGCGCGTCATTTTATATCATATTTAATGCCACAGAAATGAAATTAACAAAACTAAACAGTTGAAATATTAAGATTAGTACCGGTAAATAAGTAAACGCGGTTCAAGTAAAACAAATCAAATGCCTCAAGTTATTTGTTCAAAATTTACAGGTTTTCCTCAGGTGACTGTGTGCTGCTATAAAATAATAAGAGAACTAAGGTCTTGCACTTAGAGTCAACTAAATGCATTTTTCTATCTATTCCAAATCTTTTTGTACTCAATACACGAAGTCAGTCAGTTAAAACGTAGAGCTTCGTACAAGAGTAGATAAGTTCAGGTTGTCATACCACATAAGCACAGAGACGCAACTGACAGTCGAAATCCCATAGTGGTAGAGATAGTAGAACAAATATCTTTATAGGTAATTGGGTAGATTATATACAAATTTATGGAATAGGCTACTTACCACCGTGGTCATTTTGTTCGTGGTTTCTCCGTGATTCCGTATCAGGAAAACATTTCAGACATTCATGACAAGCAAATACTTTTGAAGCTAAAAAGTTAAATGTTCAGTTAGTTCAAATGTTTTGCAATCATTCATAAAGAAACTCTAAAAAATGAACTCACTATTATGGATGGTAAGGTTGTGCTCAAGAAGAGCGAACTTTGATGGAAACAACATATTACACGGAGAGCATAGGCTGATTGAATCTAAACAGATTTAAACAGATAAGAATTGCGGTTAGATGCATAACACTGTTGATTTCAGCAATAACACTGAATGATAAGTAAAGTAAGCTTGCTTTTTTTTCGTAAGGTTATTTATAAATATTATTAACTCATAAAAGACAACACTCTGATGTAATACATTGAATTACCTGAGTGTACAGTTTTTGTATGACGATTAAAAGCAAACTTGGTTGAAAAACTCCGATTGCACAAAGGGCAAATGCACAATTCCGCACCTAAGTAAAATGTTTCAAAACGATGGTGAGTATTCGATTAATAGTATAATGAATGTTAAAGTCAGAGTAAGGATACTCACTTTCGTGTATCAATCGCATATGACGCTCTAGGCCATGTTTAGCAGAGAATTTCTTCCCACAACAAGCACAAGGAAGAACAAGTTCTGATATACCTGAAAATATTTGGAAATAAAAACGGTTCGTATAAAAGTAAGAAATGTAGAAGTAACCAACGGTTTAAATGAGCTTAATTTCTGTTAAAACCAAGTAGTAATGAGGTTTACCTCTGCCTTATTATATAGGACATCTGCTTAGGTGCACAAGTTATATTTACCGTTAATTTTTCAACCAAAATGTGTAGATGGTTTCGCACAGAATTCCTACTACAGCATTCAAATCTTTAATCATAACAACCAATAAGACTAATTATTCAATAGAGGAGGGTTGATAATTAACAGACCAGTATTACCAGGTAACTTTCTCCGTATTACAATCTTAATTTGTTTACAGGTCTGTGTAGAAGTCGAAAGCCCTATTTGTCCATCTGCGTAATTAGATAGGAATATTCCACAGAACTTTGCGAATTTTGCCTTCACTTAAATACAGGGACAATTACGGCAAGCCATGATAATAAACTATGAACTATCGAAATAATAATTTCGTATATACTGTGTCCGCCTTCTAATGGACTTATTGAAAAAAGTTAACGCTCCAGTTTTAAAACTAGCTACGAGAATGGTACAATAAGATGTGAAATAATGCGAACATAAATCTTAAAGTGCGGGCAGCTAACGCTGTCTGATCAAAATTCAGGATTAATGTGGAAGTAACCTGCTCATCAAACCGGTAATAAGGACTACTATACATTGATCAATTAGTTTGGCTTTATATTCTGTTATCATGCAATTAAAAAGTAAATGGGTTTCAGACTTCTTTGAGGTTCCGTTTAAACTTACCTTCATGAACTTTTCGTATATGCCGGTGGAGGGCAAACTTTGTGGTGAACTTTCGTCCACATGAGTCACATTTACATTCTTCGAGACCTGTGTTTCCAGGCAGAAATGTCCGTTGGATTGATTTTTTGAGAAATGAGAACAACATAAGTAAAAACAAAAGTGATTGGAAAGTGTAAACAATTTTGCAAATTGTGTAGATGCAAGTTTTGTTTTACCAAATATCTCGTTTTGATTCTTACCTAAATGTACACAGTGCTGTTGTTGGGAATCGGGTACTAGGTAAGGATGTCAGGTCAATAGATGAAGTGCTGAAACTTTATCATTTGAGGTGGTCGGGACATGTGTTGTGTATGCCTAACCAACGACTGCCCCGACGAGCTATGTTTTGTGATGTAAAGTAGGTTGGAAGGAAGTTAAGGGCGGCCAAATCAAAACATGGCAGAAATCCATGAAGCCACTGTCAAGTGGATTGAGTCATGTTGGCAAGTTTAGACTACCTGGTTGGGTTCCGTGAGATAATAGTAATTGATGGTTAGAGACCTTGGATGACATGGCTGAAGATCGTTTGCAATGCCGCAGGTGCATCCATTCTTCGTGTTCTCTCAAATCGTAATCCTCTAGATTCGACGTCACCTTTATCTTTCAATTTTTAAGTTTATTTCACTGCATCATACTTCTTGAATAATATCTTCGAATCCTAATCTCTTTGATGACTGCTAATACTTCTACTACCTCCACTACTATGGGATTTGAATTGATAGTTGCCTGTCTTTGCTAATGTGGTATGGCAAGTTGAACTTATGTACGTATGTACGAAGTTCTACGTTGTGACTGACTGAAATGTACACGATTTTATCCCACGTCCATACCACTGTCTTTATCAATACCATGTTTAGAAATATACACATATTTAACTTTTTAGTTGCTTAACGTCTACCATATTTACTTTTGTCACTCAAGTCCTTCGTTTTTTCGAATTAGTTGCCCTTATCGCTTACCATTCTTCGGACACCACCTCACTCGACTGATCCCCAAAATCAACACAGGTTGGATAGATACATGATATTTTAAAAAATCTAAGTTGGATGGCAATGAATCACATTAAGCGATGTTTAGCATACTAATGATTTCACATAAAAAGATCTTTTGTCTTCTCCATTTATTCACTAGCGGTCACTAGCTAAAAATGAGTATAGACAAAAGTAAATAATCGTGAAGCAAACCTACGACATCTGACTTGCATTTCAACACATGCTTTTATACGTAAGAAATTTTGATATTTGAGTCTGGAGAAGATTCCATTCAGTTTAATAAATAAATATACGTCTATTCCCGGATGAATGAGATGCTTACACTTGCAAGGCTGATGAAATAGTCACTATTTTTCAGTACCAGATGACTTTCAAACACGATTAGAAAAATAACGTAGGTAATGTGTACACATGTATCACGTTTTACTGAAACAAGATAAAATTGCTAACGCTATAATTTGGTTTCAAATAATCTACAGTATACATTTAAATCTTCGTTATTAATCACATAAAATCCATGACGGTTAAAGTTACTATTGACTGTTCAATTGGTAGTGCATGAGTTAAGATATTTGTGTTTTCACAACCAATAAATTTCGGCAAATTATTTAGGCTGTTTTCAAGGTTTCAGAAAGTGAAAAATAAACATTTTTTGTATAATACAGAAGGTTTATGCAGTGCTACATATAATTTTGAAAACTCACCTTCATGAACGATTTTTAAATGTCTGGCCATACCATGTTTGGTGGAAACAACCTTTCCACACAATGTACATGCTTGGTCATTGAATGCTATAATAAAAACAAAACAAAAGCTTACTAGGCGATAACTACAACTCATTCTACACACGGCACAAGAAAAGGTTGTCCGTTGACTACTAAAAATTTCAAGGCCTTGAAAATGATATATTCAACTGAAAATATGACTGTGTCCTTCAGTCTTACAAAAATAAGTGGAAGTGGAGTTGAATTTTTGGTTTACTAGAGTCGATGGAATCAATAAAATGTATCACTACATCGATAACTTAACTTATTGGACTTTGAATATCTCATATAAAGTGAAGAACTTAACAAGAACATTTAGATTAACAAATTTCTAATGAGCTTGTTTCTCTATTTTGACTAGTTGCATTTTGTAAACCCCTTATTATTAAGAGGAATTCAGTAAAAGTAACACCATTTCGTACGAATCTCTAGCATATTACGGTATTTGAAACTTTGGTTCCATATAGCGCTTGCCTCAAAATATGTCTGGTCTTAACGAACACTAGAATATGTCACTGATTGGAGAAAGAATCTTTCCTTTTAGTTCTCGATTAAGATGGAAAAATATCTTACGAACAACAGGAATGAGTCAATGTGTAAAAATTGTATTTAAAATAATTGCAGTGAAATTTTAAGTTTCAACGTTTCACTCAGCAATCGTGTCCGAACGCATTCAGGATAATAATTACCCCGTAGATTAATAATGTATTTTACATACTTGGCGTCCAACTTCTGCCACACTATTTATTTAAATATGGACAAATATACACATAAGCAGGAATACATTTTTACACTGCAACGAATAGTTGTTAAAAACTTGGAGTAACGAAATTAAAATTTTTCTGACTACTTTTGTAGTCTAACCTGTATTGAATTTTGCGTCAAAATAGACACGTTTGTCAACAATCCAATTTATCTTGATTCATAGTTGGAATATAATTATTGAAGAAAAAACTAATGTTACAAATATCCTTTTAAAATTATCTTTCAGACATAACTTCGCATCTAGTGAATAGTATTGCAGTTAGAAATAAAGCTCCATTGGATAAGTTATTTGATGAAGGAGTTTACACGTCAGGTACACAATTTTACTTCTTGAAAAATTACGAATGCTTTTCCTTGAGTAATTTCGGAACTTCAAGTGTATATGGGATTAAAACATTGAAACTCAAAAGTCACTAGGTTTTTTATTTTATTGCATCTGTCCAGTAAAAATCCTGATGCAAACGAGCATCAGAAGGTTACATACTAATCAAATGAAGAGGTATTACTAAGGATAGATATATGAGGACGGTAGTGACCAAAAATATATTGTGGTCTGTGCAGAGTATAGTGTCTAGACGCCCAGTCTGCGCAGTTGAATTCCCAGCCAGCATTACAATATCTGTTAAGTGCACTTTCTTGAGTTCATTTAATCCATGGTAGAACTCATCGTTTATTTTGTCGAGGTGAAAATCTAGCGGTATATATTTTGGGGTTACGAAAAGACATTGCTTCTAAACACAATGGGGCGTTTTGATATAAGAGGACAAAAGTTACTATCGTAGAGTATCTGTTTAAAACTACTGATGAAATGATGACTGAATTTTGAGTTGTTATTACATCTAAAGACTTAGTCTTCGTTACTTAATAAATCGTATGAAAGCGGTGCTGATAACTACATTTATTTTACATGGTGAGCAATGACTACATTGTCTATGAAAAAATTGAACATGAATGGGGGAAAAGGACATCCCTGACGGACACCATTTGAAGTAAAGAATTCCGATGACAGTTCGCCATATGCTCTCACTCGACCTGTAGTGTTTGAGTTGAGAGCTTGTATAAGGTTAATGTACTTCTTTGGTACACCTCTTAATGACAGACACTGCCACAGAACCTCACGATCCACTGAGTCAAATGCCGCCTTAAGGTCCAGGAAGAAAACCATTGTCGGACGCCTAAATGTGTGTCTGTGTTCCAGGACCTGACAAAGTGTGAATATTTGGTCTAAACATCCACGTTCCGGTCAGAAGCAAACCTGGCTTTCTTTAGTCTGCTCTTCACGAGCTCCAGTTAAGCATCTAAGGCTAACTGAGGCTAACAATTTAGAAACTATATTAGTTAGGCTTATTCCCCTGTGACTGTCACAAGATGACTTTTGTCCTTTCTTATATATTGGGAAAGTCAGTGATTGAGAGCAGTCGGATGGGATTACGCCCAGTTCCCATATTCTACCTAAGATCTCGGTCAATCTAGCTGCTAAAACTGGACCACCATACTTAAAAATCTCAGGGGTCAATCTATCAGGACCCGCTGCTCGCCCTCGCTTCAGATTTCCTATCGCTTTTTTAGCTTCTTAAAGAGTCGGAGGACTTACGTCGATTTACCATTCAGGATGACTGGAGATCGTGGGTAACCGAAGAGTAGCTCGAGGCCAGTTGAACTGATCCTTAAAGTGTTCTGCCCACCGACCCAATCTCCTGGATTGAGAATGAATAATAAGATGATCCTTTTCCGAGATAGTCTCACTTACTTTCGGATTCCTAGTACCGGTTTTCCTGATAAGTCGGAACGACTGTCTGCTGTCGACTTTCGCCGTTGCGTTTTCCATCTCCCTTGCTTTCGCTACACATCACTGTTCTCGATCATCGCGTAGGCTTGTTATCAGCCTACGCCTGACCGTACTCAGAGCCAGGCAGGATGAATTGTCGAGCATCCATCAGTTCCGTAGATGATACTGAAATCTACGGCTTCTCCCTAACCTTATGGTTTACCTTACTAGAAGATATTACTGCTGTTTCCACAGCCCTTCTGATATCATTCCAAGCTGCCTCAGAGTGGGCATCACTTACTTCATGGCTGCCTAACTGTTCTTCTAGTTGTTCTTGAAATATATTCTTAGCTTTATTATCATTAGGTAGAGCCCTAAGAGGTTTCCCTGCGATATTTTTCTTGCGTCCAGTAAGTCGCAAACAAATAAGCGCTCGCACTAGAGCATGGTCTGAGTCTAAACAAGTGCTCCAGAATGAGCGGCAGTCTTATGTAATTTTATACCGGGTTTCAGGAGACCAGGAATAATGTTTCGTGAGCTCATATCATTTGCTTCAGTGGCGTGAGGTGATAAACGATCGAAAGAAGAGTTGGTCAACGAGATAAGAGAGTTATTAGGTGTAGAAAGGATTTGATTGTGACCGATTTGGTTTCGTGTACTTTTATGGGTATGAGGGTGGATGTTGTAGCACCTCACATATATCTTGTACTTTTATCATTGTTGAGCTTGTATGCGCATGTACGCTTGGGCATTACTTGCCACCTACACATATAGTTATTTGACTAGCTGTATCGATTAACACTTGAATAATTCGATGTCAATATCGACTATACATATTTGAATTGAATCTCATATTTGTATCGATCATTAAATAATTTGAATAATAAAGAAATTGTGGCAACGACTCGTGTTCTCTTGTAGCGATCATCAAGACGGATCTCCGTCGGGAAATCGAAGATAGCGAACGTCTAACGCCACAATAAATTGGCGAGCCCGACGTGATGATGATGATCGCTACAAGAGAACACGAGTCGTTGCCACAATTTCTTTATTATTCAAATTATTTAATGATCGATACAAATATGAGATTCAATTCAAATATGTATAGTCGATATTGACATCGAATTATTCAAGTGTTAATCGATACAGCTAGTCAAATAACTATATGTGTAGGTGGCAAGTAATGCCCAAGCGTACATGCGCATACAAGCTCAACAATGATAAAAGCACAAGATATATGTGAGGTGCTACAATGTAACTTCCAGGCTGCCCATACCGTGGAAGAACTAAGTTCTAATACATAATATGTGCTAAAGATAAATTTAATCTCAGGTGCTAAACCATAACATTTTTGAGATACAAATAGATGACAGCTTTAAGGGGGAGGTAGATAAGTTTGAAAATTAAGATGATATATGAGGGATAACAACTTTTAATGTACAACTAATATGAAATATAATAGCTATTTATAAATTTTTGACTTACAATTCATAAGGAATTAGTAATATTGAACCTCGATAGTATTCGACTGATAACAGATCTAAATAGCCAAAATATGAAACTTTGTAAGTTAAAAACAACTTTAAAATCAATTTGAAACATTCTATGAAGGATCGTTATTCAGGGACAATAGGGGTAAGCCACGATAATGTGTGAAGGTTAATATGCCCCAGTGACTAGGAACAGCTGAGAGGAGGAGAGACGGCTTCGTTTCTCGAGATGCTCTCATGTGACCACACAAATAAAAACCACTGCCAGGAGAGTCCTACTCACCACCATTTCGCGGCGGGAGCAGTCGAAAAACGAACGTCTGGAGCCTAAAACGGGTTGGTGGATATTACAGATCCACTCAAGAGAGTTGTAAAAGCTTGGTTTCAAACCAGTGGTGCATATGAACTCCAAGACCTTGAGTGACCAAATGGTATAGGAACCTACTCATAGTCATTGTGATCATGGGATCGCATCTCCTAATATTGCTCCACTTTATTGAGGATGATTTATAGGTCAAAGGTTCAGGAATTGGCTTCCTAAAAACACCACGTACCTTGATTTGAATGTCTGAGCAGTCTTTTGATCTATACACAAATAGGGTGATTGTTAGTGAAGAAAATGTTCTCGCTTACCCTTGCTATCCATAAAAACAATCGATGCAAGTATCTAGTCAAACGAAAATCCATTATATGCCTGCTTATCTCTTTATTCTGTGTTTACGATCATTTTCCAACTCACACAGCAGCTCAACTATAGAGAATGCCATCCTATTTAAATGATGAAAGTCTGCCTGCTGGTCAAAATTTTGAATGCTACCACCGATAACGCATCTCAAACAAGCTTACTTGAAATCATGCGTGCTATTCAAACAGATGCAGGCAGAATAACAAACAGGTGACGGTACGTTTTCGGAAAGTCTTGACACCGGTGTCAGAAATTAGTATCGA